ATGAATTTTCCATAACGGAAACTTTGACTATAAATTTGTTCAATGGATCTATTATTTACTATAAATTGATTGTATGGTCTTCTTGTATATAATAAATTTTCCATAACAAATTTTTTTACTGCAAATTAAATATTTATTATATATCATTATATCTTCTCTCAACGGTATAATTATTCAACACATACGTTGGACCAGAATCATATTTTTTGTTTTGTTAAAATCAGATCAGAATCATATATGGAGAAGAATTTGTGCATGAGGATGATGGATCAARACATGTTAAGATTTTGCATAAGTATCTCAAAATCTTGTTATTTGGCAGATGCCAGTTGCCACCATTCAATTTTTGACATCTGTTAAAATTATGAGGAATTATATCATTTGCACCCAATGAAAAAATCTTTCATGCCCCCCATTAAACTTTGTATCCCAATTAACCAAAGAAAGGTTATCGGTTATTCGATATATATTTTTTCCCTTTAATTTAGCTAACCTTCCAAATATAAATCTAAATCTAAATAAATAAAATATAGTTAATTTTAGTTTTCTTCGTAGGTCATTCGAATTTAAATCATACATTTCAAATTGTATAAAACACATTCTCACTTTGATCAACTCAAAAATTAATGGTTAATGATTCTGTATCTTTTCATAATTTTTGCGGTTTCACTTCTTGGTTTTAGTAGGGTTACTTTAAAATTTTATTATGTTTTTTTTCCCTAATATTTGAGGTTTTACACACACAAAATAGAGGAGAGACGTTAATTCAAAACCTCTTATATGCTAGTGGTTTTGTAAATAATTTATTAAAAAAATAACTGAAATATTATATTCATTTCTATTTTACATATATGATGTAAGGTTAAATCTTATATATCAGACTTAATAAAAAATAAACAAATTGTTTTTCATCATTTTTTATATATTTTATATAAAAATTTTTACAAATTTTTTTTTTTGCTAAAAATATTTACAATTTTTGTAAATGTCGATCATCCCTTCTAAAAAAAAAAATATATACGCCAGAGTGTGTTAACCTTAAAATACATGGACGAGGAAGGATTTTAAGTACGTTCCAACTACGATACGGTCTTGATTTTTGTGTTTACTAGATTCTAATTTAATAAATAAAACTAATCATTATATCGTTTATAAAGATATTGTAAATCTATC